GGCGCGGGGGGGGCGGGAAACGGCAGAAATTCGTACAATCACAGAAGGGTTTGGGCGGGAAGGGACCTTAAAGGGACACCTCCCACCAGCCCAGGTTGCTCCAAGCCCCCTCCAACCTGCCCTTGAACCCCTCCAGGGGCAGGCACAGCTTCTCTGGGCAACCTGGGCCAGGCTCTCACCACCCTCACAGCAAACAAGTTCTTCCCCACATCTCAGCTCCATCTCCCCTCTGTCAGTGTCAAACCCTCCCCCCTCCTCCTAGGGCTCCCCTCCCTGAGCCAGAGTCCCTCCCCAGCTTTCCTGGAGCCCCTTGAGGGACTGTAATTTCAGCTGAGGAGGGTGCAGTGCTCTGCAGAAGCCCGATTTTAGTTGTAGTTTTGCAAGGTTTAGTGTGTTTGTCCTTGTCATCAGCAAATTGCCACCCATGTATATAGCAAAATGTAACTTACAAATGTTTCTTGTTTACATAGAATTCTATGTATTTGTTTAAATCCTGGGTTTTTCTTTCCATTAACAGACCTTCCACGAACTAATTTTAGACGTTTGTCATTTGACCACTGCAGGTAAGACAATAAATTTACATTCTCATTATTAAATGACACATCTATTCATCAGGCTGTTGCCATTGAGCTATTGCTGAAGCCGTGTTCTCCCGAGGTAGTTCCTCTCACTGACTAGTGCCTGCTATGATGGCAGTGCAGCAAGAAAAAATTCCATTAGAACTGAAGCAATATCTGTACTTTCCATGGTTAGTGCCTGCTGAGATTGGATCTGATGGCTAAAAGAATACCAAAGCCATAAAATAATTCAGAACAATTATCGTGTTTTTTTCTAGTCTTTTAAATCTGTGTAACTGGGGCTTGGATCTCCTTTTCCCTGCTCAGAATATGCTTGGTCAGTCGCTCGTCTTTCCGAGGCAGTGATTAGATAGATGGAAATAACATTTATGCTAAATGTAGAGTTTCCTGCTCACGTTCTGGAGTGAAAGAGGAGTTAGTGGAGGGGGGTTAGAAGTCCTCTTGGAAATGGCACAGTTGGAGAAATTGTCACCCGCACCCACGGACTGTGGCTGCCGGGGCTATGGAAGGATCCCGAGCAGGAGATGCTGAATGTGGTGGCCACTTACTCTCTAACCCATCGCAGGGCACGCGCTGTGTCTGCTTGGACCATCCTTTCAGCCCAGCGTGGCACTGGGAGCAGGCTGGGGAGCATCACAGCACCCTGTGTGAGTGCTGGTGGCTTCAAGTTACTGACCTGCACCAGCTCCTCGCACGGATTTTGTCGTTAACCTAATTAATGTAGGATCAGGTAGTGGGTGTTGGCAGCCACTGGGTATTGTCGCTGCTATAGGCCTTGCTTTAATGTGCACGTGAATCAGCAAAGTGTTATTGGCTTCTGTCGTCACAGTTTCCAGCTGATTTTGCTAAAAGGAGTGTGTGCTTTTTCCCCAGTTTGTCCCTGCAGCCGTTTGAGTACCCGGTGTGCACCCCCGACGGAACGGTCTTTGACATACTGTGAGTGACTGCAGGGCTGGGTTCTGTGTCCCTGGAGCACCTGGTTACAGCTGTGTGACCATCGCTCGGGCTCAGCCAGTTGGCAAAAATAATCATGTCCATCCACAGTAGTTTCTGGTGATGCTTGTCTCTTAATAATTTGTCCTTTCTCTTTTCAGGAGCATTGTTCCTTGGATAAAGAAATACGGAACGAATCCAATCACAGGAGAGGTAAGTAAGGGTGGGCACATTCACACCGAGTGTTTCCTTTCAGTGTGGTCAGTTTCCTGTTTAATGTGTGGGAGAAACAAAAATGCTGTAATGAAAGCAAGAGAAATTGAAGGAGTGCTGTTTTGAAATATGGTGTTTGTGAGATCAGCTTTGCTGAAATGACCCTACGGATTTATTAGGGATCTCTTTTAAGCTTAAAAGGAAAAACAAAAGGGCTTCTGGATTTGAGACCTGGTATCCCCTCACTGTCGTCCTGCTAACGATCTTTGTAGGAGAAAGTAATCCACCTTGGACTCTGTGTGTGGAAGAAAGAGGAAAGCTTCTTTTTAAATTTTTTTTTTTTTTTTTTGCATTGGATTGTAAATAATATGGTGGAGGAAAGTGCAGCTCATGTCTATAAAATCCCAAAATCTTTTGAGTTATCTCAGCAATGTATTTCAGAAAGTTCTGACCTGCTTCTGTCGTGATAGTTCACCGTGAGACTGGGATCTCACGCTGTGCTCGGTGCCTTGGTGGGTTTTCTCCCCCCTTTTTCTGCATAAATGATCATTATGTAGGGATTATTTTCTGTGGTCGTGTGAAGTTGTAAAGCACCAGATAAATATGAAATATTGGAAACGTTTCCTTGTCGGAATTATTATTTTTTCCTGGTGTGTTAGAAGAGGGTGTGTTGTTTGTGGGAGCACAGAGGAGGATTTCAGACAGATGCTGCTCCGTTCCCTGTCCCTTCCCTGGCGGGTGCAGTTGCTCTCCCGAGCGTGGGGTGGCAGCCGGCGCCCAGCATTGCTGCTGGGCTGCAGATGGCTCTGTGGTAGGAGATTACCCTTCAAACATCTTGTGTTTGATTAAAGATTTTCCCAGCAGACAGAGAGGAGCAGAAGCTGGATGCAGAGGCAGCGCTCCACGCTGTGAGCGGCGCAGGCTGGCTGAGGCTCACTGCCTGCAGTTACCTCAAACCACAGGTGCTTTGTGCCGTGGGGAGATGATTGAAGGGCTTTCTTCACCGGTGGGGAGGCCAATGTGTTGTTGGGAAGGGATGGAATTACAGCTATTTCGTTTGTTTTCACCAGCCTCCCACCACCTTCCTGCTCTGCGCGTTCCCTGGCAGTTCTGGGGTGTTGCCAGATGAATTTTTTCACTTGGAGCAGCTCCGTGACACCTGCTCTCATTCCAGACTGGGAACTGTGATGGGATTTAAAATTACTTTGGGTAAATGCTAGGCAAGAAGCTCAATGTGTGTGATGGCCTTGTGTAACACAGCGAAGGGCTTTCTTCACCGGTGGGGAGGCCAATGTGTTGTTGGGAAGGGATGGAATTACAGCTATTTCGTTTGTTTTCACCAGCCTCCCACCACCTTCCTGCTCTGCGCGTTCCCTGGCAGTTCTGGGGTGTTGCCAGATGAATTTTTTCACTTGGAGCAGCTCCGTGACACCTGCTCTCATTCCAGACTGGGAACTGTGATGGGATTTAAAATTACTTTGGGTAAATGCTAGGCAAGAAGCTCAATGTGTGTGATGGCCTTGTGTAACACAGCGGGAGGGAGATGGTGCGGAATATACCTGGTGAACCATAAATGCTCAAATGAAGTCCAACCTTGAGACCAGGGAAGGAAAAGCAGTGCCCTTGTTTTATCTTTAAGCATTTGCTTGAAATAAGGTTGGTAGGATGATGCTTGCCTGAATAATCACAGGCACCCCTACTTGGGGTAAATGCTGGGCAAGAAGCACAATGTGTGTGATGGCCTTGTGTAACACAGCGGGAGGGAGATGGTGCGGAATATACCTGGTGAACCATAAATGCTCAAATGAAGTCCAACCTTGAGACCAGGGAAGGAAAAGCAGTGCCCTTGTTTTATCTTTAAGCATTTGCTTGAAATAAGGTTGGTAGGATGATGCTTGCCTGAATAATCACAGGCACTTCCAAAACCAGTAACTTCTTACCCTCCAAAGAAAAAAATGCAGCCAAGTCTGTTATTTCAAAACTTTGGAAAAGTCCTTCTCAAATACATTTCCTTAAATATATGTATTAGCTCCCAAATGCTGGTGGCTATTGTTACTTCACTTTTTGTGAAAGCATAGCTTCTTTTCAGTTTGATTAACTAGATTTCAGTCAATCTCTTAGAAATCAGTTGTTGGTCTGGAAGTGGAAGGAGCAGAGGAGCTTCCTGACCAGGCTAACGGCAAGGATGTGAAGATCACTCCTTCACTGCTGAGTGTATTAACCCTCTTGAAAAATGAACAAACAACCTTACAGCACCTTTTTCTTTTTTTAAATGCACTAAAAAAGTCTTTGGCTGTCTAAATAAGGGAAATCCTGCCTGAAAAGGATGCAGAAATTAGAGCAAAGGTGAAACTTCCTTAAACATAAAAGTGTTTTTACCATGTACATATTTTGAAAGCACAGATACAGAAATAGAAAGCACTGATAATTGTTTCTTCCGTCGAGAAGGGAATGCACTGAGAAAGAGGGCTTGGGTGTTTTTTGATTCTCCTGCAATATTCTGAATGAAGAAATGGCAGCGAGTCAGGGGTGTGAGAAACACCAAGTGCCGTAGGAACAGGCGTTAAAGTTGAGGTTAAATTCCAGCCACGGCTTTATAGTTCACTACAAATTGCTCTCCACCTCCACCCGATAATGGGGCAGAGCCTGTGTGTTTCAGGAGTGGGTTCCTGTGGGCAGGTTGTGTGAACCTGAGGTGTTGCTGAGTCAGGGGATGGAGAGCAGGTCCCGAACAAAGCCCGTCCTGCGGTGAGCCGGGTGGGACGGGTCTGTGGCCTCAGCGGGGACAGGACGGGTTCAACTTCCACGTGACCCAAAGGGGCTACATCAACAGTGACTGCGGCTTGAAACTCCCTTCCTATGGTGGTGTGGTAATTGACTGCAGGTTGCTGCTCTAATTGTGTTATTCCAGGTGTGTGTCTAGATAACGAGCAGCAAACAATGGGTACCATCAGCCAGGGCTCTGTGGCTGGAAGGTGACCTCCCTCGTGCCAGCCTGGCGGTCGCTGCTGCTGGGACACGTTGTCAGGAGAATGGAATCTCTGCAGAAAACGTTCAGTGCGATGCGCTTTCGGAGCACTAGTCTAGACTTTTCTGCAACGTGCTGGTAATTCTACCTTAGGACTCGGATGCTCTTCTAAAGACAGCACACTGCAGCAGGAGTCACATTTTCCTTCTGACTTTTCATTTTTTTCCCCTCCTGAAAAGTTTTCTTCATTCTCACTGTTTCCAACAGATTGTGCTTACTCTGAGCATTCTCGTTCTTTGTCTGGATAGAAAATACTGAGAGGAAAATGCTGTGCAGCCCTCCTAGGCAGGCTACCTCCACGGCAGCTTTCTGTGTCTAGAGTGCTCGGACTGTCTAATGGAGAGGAAAATAATTTGACCAATTGAGATCTTTTTCATTATGTAAATGCACAGAAAAACGCAGAAGTTTGGTTTTACTTTCCCTCAACATCAGAGCACAGTCCCTGAAACCCAAGCAGTCTGCTACGTGAGCTCTGTGGGGCTTTGGGAGTGAGGGATCGTTTGGGTGGATGAGTAACTTCATGTCTCATTTGGCTGTAGTGTAACTGATGTATAAATGAGAATTTTAATTCTTCTCTTGAGGACTCTTCACATACACGTCAGAAGAAGTCAGCGCATCTTCAGCTTTGAAATTCAAAATATATTTCTTAATTTGTCTGATGCAACTCAGTGAAGTCTTCAGATATTGCACAGGTGTGAGTTGCCTCTCTGTCTTCCTTTTGCTAAACTTATTTTTTCCTGTACATTTGAAGTGAAGGAGGGGAGTTTTTTTCCTTGTTTATTTGTAAGAAAAGTTCCAGTGGGGGGTGGGAATACAATTTTGTTCTGGTTGAGTAATAGCTTATTACAGAGCAGAGAACAAAGCTTACAGAAAAAAAACCAAGGGAAGCTTTGTTGTTGAAAAATGATTCAGACAAATCCAGCTTAGTTGGTTTTCCTGTGCTGCAGAAAGAGGGGAGAAATGATCAGGAACAGAAAACTGGAGGACGCTCTCGCAATCTGCCTCTCAAACTGCGGGCTCTGCCTTGGGCCGGTGTTTGCTGTCCTCCTGCTGTGGCTGCTCAGAGGTTCTTCTGAGGGTTTTTCATCTGATAGACATCTTCTGTGCATTCTGAGTTTGACCAGCTTAGTCTTGTTTGTATTTGTGCCAGAACTGTGCTTCTCCCTGTTAGTGCTTACAGCTGGGTGTTTGGGACAGAGGAATTCAGTGCTTTCTTGACATTTTCTTGTTGAGACTTGTATTTTCCTGTCAGATGTTCTTCTTGCCTTTAAGTTCTCTGTACCCTAAATGGTCACAGTTGTCCTTCTCCACATCTGTTTAATTTATCTTCTTTGAACAGAACTAATCTTAACCATACACAGCAAGTGCTGGGTGAATGCCTGGTACAGTGCTGGGAATATTTTCTGATCTGTTCCTGAAATACTTTGATATGTTACACATGATAGTGTAAGACAGAAAACAGCTTCAGTGTGTGTGTTGGGATATGGGGGGTACTGTCAGAATATGACAATTTATTGCACTTTCTCTCGATAGCTTGGGTCATTTCAGAAGCAGGTGCTTATTTATAAATAAGAGTTAGCCCGGATGAGCAGTCGTTCTTCCTTTCCTATTTTTTTTTTTTGGTTTTGTTTCCAGTTGAGTGTTGCTGCCTGTGTTCCTGTGGTCCGTAGCAGTATTTTGGGCATGGAGGGTCACAGCCACCATCACTCAGCATCTCTCTCCAGGTGTGGTTCTGTCTGGGGCAGCAGGGCCAGGCTGCTCAGGGGCCTGGAGTCCCCTCTGAACGAGATGAGCTCTTCCCTGTGCAGCAGCTGAACCGTGTCATCTTACCTCATTTGCCTCAGAAATTATTAGCTTTTAGTCAACAATCGAAATTAGTTAATATTTGACTAGTGACCATAAATTTTCAAGGCCCCTGGATAGAAATGTATGAGGACATGATTCCTGCCTGGAGGAATGACCAGAAAGTCGCGTGTCATGACCGGAAATGGCCATAAAACACAGGGAAGGGGGGGCCGAGGCGGTGGAGGTCCCGGTGAGGTGAATGACCTGGAAGAGGACTCCTTTCCTGTTGGGTTTGCTGAAACTTTCCGACTCTCTTTGTTCCTGACGACCATGTGGTAGCTGTGTCTGTGTGTGTGACAGCAGCGTGCCCGGCACCACGAAGGGTTAGCCTTTATCCGTCCTAAACGGGGGATTTATTTTTCAATGCCCTGTATCTTTGGGAGGCAGCGAGGGTGCAGAAGATGAGATTTGCCCAGACATACTGTTCAAGTGCTTTATCAAAAGGAGACGTGTAGAACCCTCCAGCGTCGTGAGTCACTGTCCCAGCCGCGGTGCCTCCTCCACACCTTGCAGATGGGATTCCTCTGGTGATGGGCAGAGTCCTACCCAGTGAGCCAGCTCTGCTCACAGCTGGGTGGATGTGTCTGGTGTTACTCCTTGTGCATTAGTTCCCATACAGCAAACAAGTATTTACATCTAGGTTTTATGGACTGAACAGATGGTCTCTTTTTTTTCCTTTTCCATGTTTTGGTGGAAGTGTGCACGTTGGATGGGGTTTTGTGACCAACAGATGGTCTCTTTTTTTTTTCCTTTTCCATGTTTTGGTGGAAGTGTGCACGTTGGATGGGGTTTTGTGATGATGACACTTGAAAATCCAGCAGCTGTGAAACGCTCCAGCCTTAAATGAGATGCAGCATGAGGTTTCCCACAGATCCTGACCTCCCTGTTTTTCACTAAAATTGGAGAGGGGCTTTTTGATGCTTGTGCAAAGCTTAGTTTTGCATGAACCATGTTGTATTTGGCTGTGGGTCCCTGGGTTGATGGACTTGTGCCTGCATTAATGCTGCAGATTTCATCTCGCACGTGAAACTACACGTCTTTTTCTCATGGTAATTTCTGTTGATGTGCTCTTTGGGAGAGCAGCATTATTGCTGTTATCTGTGAGCCATGTGTGTTATCAGGCATATCTTTATGATTCTCTGGTCAAGGCTTTGGTGACCATATGGTGTCTGTTTAATTAAAAATTAAATATGGAAATACAGTGGTCTGGAAGAGGGTAATGAGGGATCTTTTCTGTCCATTTCCAAACCAGTTCAGTAGCGGATGAGAGCTGCAGTTAAACAGCAGCTTCATCCAAGACTGAATTGCAGGTATCTTTTCAGCATTTGGTAGACAGTTGCCCACGTGATGAATATCTACCATTTTTGCTGTTGAACTGAACATAGAAACAATACCTTGAATCCTGAGACTATTCTGGCCTCTTGGCTGCGGACCTCAAATTTTTCATGAAATATTAAACTACATGAAGATGGATTGTCTTGTTAAAACAGTGCTGCTGTTTCCAATCACATTCCCATAATGGGTAGACTTGCTGAGGATTTCCAATACCTTTTTATCATCATTAAATCCATTTACAAGATCTGAAATAAGTAACATTATACGTGGAGTTATTCCAATACTATTCATTCAATTCATATCCTCATATTTCTTGAAGGTTTTATAGCAGGAAAATTGTAAGAGGGCTTCTTAAAATGTGAAGGTGTATGCAAAGAGTAACAGGTCTCATCTTTAAAGGGACCAAAGAATTTAATGCAAAATAAATTTGCTGTTCTTAAGCTAAATTTGGTACTTGGTAGGCAACATTGTGTTTTAATATTGGTATTTGGTTTGGCTCTCTCTTCTGTTTGAGTGTCGCTTGTTTTGGTGGGATGAGAACCAAGCAAATGGCCAGGCCTGCACTGGATGGTTTTGTCCTCGTGTTGCCAACGAGTTCAGACGTGACACGTTTGTGTTCCCCACACTGGGTTGCTGTGTGCTCCTGCCAGAGGCTGATCAGAAGGGTGTCCCATCCCCAAGCACTGAGCACTTCCACACTAACTCAGTTACCGCTGACAGAGCGGGACGGTCTGTGTTTGCTACACACAACTCTTGCCGCACGCCAGCAGCTCTGCCCGTGTGTGGGTAGAGAATCCAACGAGCCCGTTTTGATTGCTTTTCAGGCTGGTGTGTATCCAACAGGGTCAGAGCCTCATTAACCAGGAGAACACGCAGCCACAGACCAAAGAGGTTCAGAGAGTGTAACTAATTGACGCGCGGGGATTGTAGGTCAGATCTTCACGAGGCACACGGCGGTGGCAGGGGATGGTTGCACTGGGAACAACCAACGTGCTTCACCCAGGAGCTGCCCCACTGCCCCACTGACCTGGGCCTCACAGCAACCTCTGCTGTGGGCACCGGGAGGGGACGCCGCCGGTGGGGACCCCGCAGGAAGGGGTGCTGCAGAGGGGGCGCGGGGCCATGGGGCTTCTCGCCGCCGCGGGGAAGTAGGTCATGGCCAAAAGTAGCCTTGGCTGCTGCGTGGGAGCCTGCCTGCCAGGGGGGAGTCAGCTGAGAAGGGAGCTCACGCCGTCCCGGGGGCTGGTTTTCAGCCCGTCCTCGCTGCGGAGCAGCTGGCACGACGTGCTGTGACACGCGTCTGCTTTCCAGTATTCTCGCATGAAGTATTTTTAGAAGTGAATATGCAGCTCTTATTCCTGCTTAGGGGAAGTGGCGCATGCTTGTGGCCTTTCGCTTTTGTTAGGAATGTAGAATTTTAATTAGATCAAGGGTTTTTAATAAACGTTGTTCTTTCCTTGATTTCTTCGCCGGAGATGGGCTGCAACTGGATGGTAGGTGTGTGTCAGGGCAACTCAGGTTGGAAATAGTTCTGAACTCGAGCTGTGTATGCAGTATTTGAGCTCTCTTATGCTTTATTAGTAATAAGAAATACATGAAAACAAGTACTTTAACTCATTTTAGGACTCATTCACTCCTGCTGTCTCTTCCCGTGAAGACTGGTGCCTGTTTGTGGCATAATGGTCATTTCCATGGCAACAAGCCGTGTGATGGTGCTTGGAAAGCTTTGGCTTTTGGTGGAGAATAAATAAAAGCAGATTCACCCACATGCAAGATAATCCTGTTTTCAAGTGAAATGAAGAAATTGAGAGGCAAAAAAATATGATACAGGTTTTCTATATCATGTTCTTTCATGGTTTCTCCTCTGCGGCAGCTCCATGCACAGTTGCCCGATGCTGCAGCCTGGCCTCGGGCACTGAGCTGCCTCGGGAGGCCACAGCAGTCCTCTCTGGCAGATCAGCCCCTGGCTTTGCTGCTCTGGTGCTCCAGGGATGTCCTTTGACAAAACACTAAGTCCCCCTCTTGTCTTTCCATACATTAAGACATGTTAATCAGTTTTGCAAAGTATCTTTGAGATTCTGCCCTAACTGTAGTTTCCCCACGTGTTTTCTCATGTACAACTCTCGGTCCGTTTCCATCCCGTCTCATAAAAACCCCTTATCAGGAGGTGTCCCCATGGCCTGGCACAGGAGTGCTCGGGGTGGAACCATCTCCAGCTGAGCTGATGCACAGAGCTGCTCTGGAGGCCCTGAGCTGAGCTGCCCAGTGCCCTTCTTGGGCTCCATCTGGAGAGGAGCCCAGCCAGCAGCACTACAAGTTTGTAATGTTCATGCAGCGCTGCAGTGTAAAGGTCTCATCCTGCAACAGGGCTCCAGGCAGCGCCTGTATTTCAACTCCTATAGGAAACTCACTATTTTTTAATGTACTGTTGACATCTATGACTGTAGAAGTGCTGGTCTCAGTGGGGAGCAGCTGCCAGCAGGAGCAGCTGATGCAGCACGAGTAACTGATGCTGAAAACTAACCTTTTTCCGTGCTATGGAAAGATGTGACCTGAAATACCATGCTGTTTCCCTGGGTGTGGAGTAAGAGTCCGAGGACTTGGCAGCACTTCTAACGACACATCCCAGGCTGACAGGTGACACAGGGCACTGCAGCCCTTCCTGCCTTTACACTCTGTGCAGCAGCTTAGGCTGTCTTTCCCACTACATTTCTGTCAAGGTATAAATCTGTATCTCATGCTAAACTGTTTCTTAGGGAACTGTTTCCATTTTTGATAAAGATGATCTGCTCATATGTTTTGGGGATAGCTCGAGTCTGCCAGGAAGATAATTTGAAGGCCTTCCTTCAAATTACCCATGTTGCCAGTGGTCATATTTCTAAAGAAGCTTCTTCTGGAACACAGTTTTTGGGCTGTTGCATAACATGTGCACAGATGGATGCTGCTTTGTGTTAATCAGTTGTTTAGGTTGAACAGAGCTGTCCAGGATCATATGTTCATTTTGGCAACTCTGCTGTTCCCCCACTACTTCTTTGACAATTTTGTTCTAGTAAGAAGATAAATAAATGAATAAAGCTCTGCATTCACTTAGTCATTTCAGAGGCTGCCTTTACCTTTGATGTCTGTCTTTGTGCCCCAGCACTGTGCAGATGTTGGGGTTTGGGGTTTTTTTTTGAGAATCCACTTAAGGAAAAGCAACAGAACTGGTCTTCCATTGCCAAATTAAATTACTATAACCTAGCCTGGTCTTTTCCCTTCCCCATCTTATTCCTGCTGGCCCTCGTTGCTCTTCTTGTGGATAAATGATGGTTAGATTATGTTATGATTAATTTTTTTTAACTTTTCATTTTCTTTAGAAACTAGATGCCAAATCACTTATAAAGCTGAATTTTGCTAAAAACAGTGAAGGTAAGTGCAGTAATTTTCTGTGTGCGTTTTTTTTTTCTTAATAAATCCTGGTTTGTCTTACTCATGATAAAGTTACGTAGTTTGTGTTTTCTATCATGGTTTTCACTTTTTGAGTAGAACAACCGCTTCTTGTGAGTGATGTGTTTACCTTTAAAGTTCCACTTCTGGTTTTCTTTACACTGGGGAGCTGTATATTATTCAGCAATTTCACTTTACGGGAGCTACTACTGCACTAAGGTACTATTGACTTTAGGAAAAAGTTTCAGAAAAGGCTAAATTTCTGTCATATGTTATTTTTTTTCTAACTTGCCTATGGCATTATTTGCTTTTCACTTGGTTTTGAGCAACTTTTTACTTATAAAGAGAGTTAGACTTAAATGAAAACATGCGATTTTATGAACAGCAGCACACAAAAGTGCAGCCTCCAGTTTTATTTCTGCAGGGTCAAAGATATAAAATCTGCCATCTAGGAGAGGATGCTGAGAATAAAAGAGAGGAGTGGAGATTAATTCGTCTTTTACGAGGCAGATAATGATTTCTTTGAAACAAGAGTGGCAAGGATTAGGTGGGAATGAAATTCTCGAGTGTCTGTCTCCTTATCTCACCAATAGCCCCTAAACTACAAGGGCTTTTCTCTTGCTGATGGATTTCTTCTGCATTTTGTGTTCCACCTGTCTCAAGAGCAGGGTGTTAAAAACTGATCAATAGTCACCATGGCCAAGGTTTTTGAAAGATACTGCGATACTGTGCTCTCCTTAAAGAAGCCCAGCTCGAATGCCTGGGTGGAGGGCTGGCAGCCATGGGGCCTCAGGAGCCTTCTCCTTCAAAATGTGCATTTCCTGTTACAAACGGATCCAGGGAAAATGCAACAAAAGACGAAGAGTAAAATGTTGCATTTCTGTCTATCAGCAAACTCTTCTTTATTCCTTAACATGTAGAATGGTTATTATGTATGTAGGATCTTCTCTTCACACCAGTACAATGAAAAAGGTCTTCAGATACTGCAGTTTATTCCACTTAATGATCCCTCTGTAGCTGAGAACCTGCTGTCCAGACCAAGGAGAGTGTGCCCTCAGCAGCTCCGCTGTTGCTGGAGGTGGAAATGTGGTGATTTGCTCTTTTTGAAGCAGCTGAGTGAGGCCTCCCCTTTTACCAGCGTGTTTCTGTGTCTGTCAGCTGGGCCATGCCCTGATGGCACTTGCAGGAATCCCTCTCTGGGGTTTCTCCTGGATTTCAGCCCCTGGTTCAGCGCTGGGGCGTGAAGAGGAGCAGCCCTGGGCTTTCACGTGCAGCTGTGCGTGTGTCACTGCGCTGTCTGCGGGGGCTGTGAGCAGTCTCTGGACTGGTCTCCACACTGATTTGCCTTTTCAGGTGGTAATTAGGGGGAAAAAGAACCAAATAGGCCCAACCTACTTCAGAAATCTCACCCAAACCCCCATCTCGAGCAAACCGATCACGTATTAATAACCTACTTTTAATGGCTTTCTGCAGAGATCATCCAGACATTTTTCCTTTCCCTGTGCCTTGCCTCCCATCAGTTTGCTGGTTGTTGACGTGCTTAATATTTATGCTGACCCTCCTGGGAAAATTCACAGCTTGATTAGAGCAGAAGCTGGGCTCCTTATTGAGTAACGTGTTTGGATTTAATGGCATTCTGCTTGCCACATTTGAATACAAAATGCTCTCCTCTCCCAAAAGCTCAACAGCTGCTGTCAACTTTTTTGTTGGATATGAGCTAAACTCTTATTCCTGGGAACAGCACTGAAAATGTTCAATGAAAAAAAATACCAGCACTGGGTGCGTTCCAAGGTACAGGGGTCACTCTCTCAATAGAGAATTGATAACAACAATAACATTATATCGTGGTACTTCATTGATATCAAGCAAGTTGGACAAAGGTCTGTGGTGGGGCACTGGAGGCAGCAGATTTCAAACCTGCATTTTCATTGCTTGCTTTATCATTTTTTTTTAAGTGTTACTTTTTCTGTTTGGTACTGAAGAGTTAAAGTGTAGTTAAAGCACCGTTAAATGCACACTGAAGTGACACTTTATATTAAAAATGAATGTAAATATTCTTCAAAGAGATAATAGACATTATTTATTTCAAAACAGTTGCAGGGACTTCGTGCCAAACTTAAACTTTTTTACCCTCCATCAGGTAAATACCACTGTCCGGTGCTGTTCACTGTATTCACCAATAACTCCCATATTGTGGCCATCAAGACAACTGGAAATGTGTTTGCCTACGAGGTGGGTTCTCTGTTGCATTGCATTACTAGTATTTGATATTTGATGCATTTTATTCAAGATCACAAAATGCTTTAGAAAGGCATGTATTTCTTATTCTGTTCTACAGCCAGGAAAATTAAAGTATAAGGAGATGAACTGACTTCACAAATTATTGTCTGACTTTTGCCTTCAAAAATATGAACAACCCTAGAGTATGATTTAAAAGATATTTTTGAAACCTTTTCCTCAGTTAATCTGCATGCACTGTCTTGTAAATCAAAATGAGTAGCTCTAATATGCCTCCTCAGTTGAATTAATAGACAAATGTCCTGTTGTCTTCTTTCTGATACAGAGTCATCATGAAAATACAAATTGCCTCATTTCTATTCATATCAATAGATAAAAAAGGGTATTTTAACTGGATCTGGGGAAAGAGCAGAGAGAATGCCTTAATGGACACTTGAACTGCATTTTTATTTGTGTTCTGTGAACATTTGTGTGAACCCAGGTGGAATTTATTATTAGAATAAACCATATTTTCTGTTCCTTCTAGAAGCATGATGCTTTGATTGCTGTGGTTAAAAGGCAGGAATGAGTTTAAGTGCAGTCTTTGTTAAATGCTTGTCGATATTGTGAAACTATTGCTTGGTTTGGTACAATTTATGATACTGGGCTTCCTAAGAAGCCTTACCAAGAGGGCCCGTTTCTCATACCGTGAACTGCTTGAAGTGGTTTGTTAGCATTTATCAGTTTGCTATAAGCACAGAATTAATTTACAGACTCCTGGAGGCACTAGAAAAATATTGTCACTTTCATCCAAGGAGAACAGAGGACATTTGGGTGAAGGGACCAGATTCTCTTCCTTTGCAGCAGAACTCTGGAGTCGTCTCCCTGCACCACGTATTTGTTCATAACAACAAAGCATTTACTCCAGGTGGATTCTCGCTGTGAAATGATGTGCTGCTGCTTTGCTGAGCACTGTTGAGGTTTCTCAGGTGACCAGAAGTGTTGGTGCCAACTGGGAGCAGCAGTGGGGCGGCCGGTGCAGCTCTGCTGCTGGGCAGCTGGCCTGGGACACGCGTGTGTCCCCGGGGTGCTGGGGGAGATACGGACCCCTCGTGAAAGCTCCTGTCTTGTACCAGCTGTAAAATACTTCACTTGGAAAACTGCCAGCAAGTTTTCTTTATTTTGGCAGTGCTTTTACAATTAATTTGGTTAAGATGATATGCATCTCTATGGAATGGAGACTGCAAGGTTCTTTTTTTTTAAAAAACATAAACCAAACCACACAAACTGTAGTTTTGCAGGGGTGAAAGACAAAAGCTTCTCATCTGTTAAAGCACACAATGCAAATACTGCAGCTGCCATTGAGAATGAAGGGTGACATTGTTTTCTTTATCATTTGTACTTTAAAGTTTTATTGGCATCACATATTTACTTGTAATTTTTACATGTTAGAATCCAGTTTTTAATATCTGTGCCTTTTGCCCGGCCATTAGGCAGTTGAGCAGCTGAACATAAAACCAAAGAGCTACAAGGATCTTTTGACAGATGAGCCCTTCACTCGGCAGGACATTGTGACACTGCAGGTAAACCTTTCTCTCTGTTACATGCCTTAAAATACAGCTTTTTGGGGGAGGATGAAATGTGGCTGCGTACACTGCGATAGCAGGAATCCAGAGTAACTGAACAGAGAAACATTGTGTGTGTGTCTTGGAGATGGGTAGAAGGGGAACTGCTGGATTTTCTTTGTTATCCAGACGAGCCACAAGGATGCCATGTAACTTAGAGCTTGACAAATCTCTAGAGCGGTTATTGTGTGCCTTTTAGAGAAGGCAATTGTTCAACTTTGTAAGTTGAAGGAGAAAAATCAAACTGCACAGAAAAAGTCAAGGACGCCATGTAAAAATGTGAATTTTGACAAATGTGTTTGCAGTTGCTCACTATTTCACTGTATCTGACTGAATATAAGATCTTCTGTGTAATCCTAAGTTTTGGATATGAAGCTACACATAAGATTTTGGGTTGGGTTTTTTTCCATTAATCTTACCTGAAAAATTGCTGTGACACCTCTGAGTTGGTGTGAGACTTAACATTGGGAAAAGACTGGGTAGCAGAAAGGGAAAGATAATGTCCAGAATCATCTTCAGCTCTCGCCAGTCAACAGTCTGTGGTCTGTTACCAAAAGAATCCTGTTTCAGAATGGAAAGTATATAAACTTTTAGGAAGTCAGCATGTTACATTGTGACTGAAGTCGATTGCCTGAAAGAGTAGAAGCTTTAGAAACATATTTAGAAACAAATAAGCAGCAAACCCCAAATTCAAACAGCATTGTAAATTTCAGAGTGTGAAAGATACTTACTTGATGAAAAGTAGGCATTTTTAAGCTTGCATGATTTCAAAATAGGGGGAAAAGATTCAATGATCATAATTACTGGAGTCATGAGTTTAGTATGCGCCTCATGAACAGTTAATTGCCGCTAACCAAGACTAATACTGTCTAATTTGAATAGAAAAATATTTTTCATTTATGTCTAAATTTAAATGTATCCCTTCTTCCCTGCTCCCCAGTGCTGAGCAGCGCATTTATAAATACTTTTCCTCTGTTCCTTTGGGCTTATGGCTTGTTCAAGCTAATGCAACAAAGTAAAATGTTTTTAATCCAATGGAAGCAAACCCTGTAGCTTTTTCAGACTGAAAGCTCCCAACAGAATGTTGTTGGAATGTAACTGCGTGGTTGCTAATGGATTTGGAACAGTAAAAAAAGACAACACGAGTGACTAAAAGTGTTTCTGTGCATCAGTGTGGAAAAACAAATTATTTTTAACAAATAATTGAAATGTGCAATCATTTAAAAATATTTTGGTGTGTTTTGTAGGTTTGGAGCTGAACGTATGTATAAAATGCATAGTCCTGTCACACGCCCAGCTTTGATTTTTCATAGACACAAACAGATGCTCTAGTCCCCTAACTCTCCGAGTGCAGTAGTTAGTGATCTGGGTGTTCCCTGTGTGGGTTTTTGTCAGTGATTTTCACCTTCACTCTGTTCTTGACGTGTTGGGTTTCTCTCTTGCTTGGAGGGATGTGTCTATTAACAGAAACTGAGTGTGGTTGATGTCCGGTCACTGGTACAGCCGTCCTGCTGGCTGTGTAGGGGTTGAGAAAGGATTTTCAACCAACAGGCTAAAATGGGTTCGGGGGTTGGACGGGGGTCAGAGCCGTTGGATGCACGGGACAACCCCCGGCCAGATTGGGGTGTACCCCGATCTCCCCTGCCCAGCCCTGCCCGGCTTTGCTGGGACCAGAGCGCAGCCTGAAGTGCTGTGAGGAGCCCGGCTACTCAAACTGCTTATGTGTATGTGGTATAGGAATCTGTTGTTATTTTCTGGTGGTGTTTTCTGTGTGTAAGTTGTTGACAGACCGGCCGGCGTCTCCCCCGCCAGCTCCCTTGCTGACAGCGCGGTGCGTCCCCCTGCCAAGCTCTGCCACCTGCGGCTCTGTCCCCTCGCCAGCCTTCCTGCCCGCAATCTGCTGCGCTTCACTCTGCCCTGCAGCTCTGCCCCAGCCCTGCTTCTCCTAAAAACCCTTCCGTTCCGCCCTGAAATTCATCACTTCATTGTTTTCCCATTCCCCGGTGTAAATCGAGTGGTGAGGGGTGTGAGGGAGCTGGTAACACTGACCCCGCTGTTTGGCAAAATGGTAGGTACAAAGGAAGTTGCTATGAAAAACATGCTTTGCTTGGCAAAAGCAGCTGAATAGGACTGTCTGTAGTAGCTGTGTTTATTGATAGAAAAGAGCATTTCCAGAGGCTGCCTCTGAGGGTCCTGGGAAGCCGATGGGGTACCTGTGTGTTTGGTTGTGAAATGCAACATGGTAAATAGAACATTTGAATAATGTCTGTTTACAGATTATTTGTATGATCACGTTTTTCCTTATTGACACATAAAGGGCAATCCTGCAGCTGCTAGCAATTGACCTCAAACCTGACCTCTCTCTCCTAATGTATATAATTAAAAACAAAACCAAAAAAAATTCTGCTCTTTTCAGAAGAGAGAGAATTGCATAAAATTCTGTGCTCTGTTCTCAGTGCTAAACATTACTCAAACACTAATCATAATCCACCCGTTAGCTTTTCTGCTGGGCTCCATCTCAGCTGGTTGCTTTGATTTTAGTGATAGTTATTTGTGTCCCATTGCTGCTAAGTTTACTTGTTAAAAGGGACAAATTATTGGATCTTGAACCAGAAAATGCAAAATCACAGCACCATCTTAGATCTTTGATGTGCTTCTCTTTGTGAAGGAATCCGCAGTGCTTCCCGCGCTTAGATGTGCAGAAATTGCTTTTTTCCCTGCTGAAATGGAGATGCCCCGGGGTAGAGCTCGGCCGTTCCTCATCAACATATGGCGGTGTCACCCCCCTCGGGCCGGAGGGGAGGAGTAATACCATCTCCTGGGGTGCAAGATGCATTTCCAAAAGCGAGTGCAGTTACTCAGGCAAAAGATGTCACAGATTCTGGTTAGTATCTTGGTGATAACAACAGAAATATGTGTGACAACATTCCGTGTGAAACCCTTCCTAGACACCCCCGCTCTTGGTGCGAGTGGATTTTTTAGCCTGCAGCTCTTTACCCTCAGGTTGCAATTTCCTTCTCTTAGCTGTGGGATCTGGCCACAAACTGGAGTCCAGCTTCCCATCCTCTACACCGCAGGTGTGACTTCTTCCAAGTTTCTCTCTCTGTGTTCCAGTCTCACATGTTGCAAATTACCCTTTGTGTACGATGTGGAACTGGACAGTGAGCACATCCCTGGGTGCAGCCCGGATCCCCCTCTCCCGTGTCGGGGGGCAGCTGGAGCACGGAGAGGAGCAGGGTCAGGCTTTGCTGCCGTTAAAGGGAGATAAAGGCTGGTGGTGTAACGTGCTCCCGTATGTCAGTCTCATTGTTCCTGCACAGCTCATCGGCCGTGGACACCACACGGCTCCCGACAAGCTGTTGAACACCGCTGGCGTTGGTGGCAGGAGCATAGCTAATGAGCGGAGTTGGAGGCAGCCGAGCTGCGCTCCGTTAATTGATATTTCGCTCCTCAGCTATTTCTCACTTGCTGGTCGTGTGGCAGAAGGTGGGAGCAGATGTCCTCATGGTGGCCGAGGGTGAGGGCTCTTTGGGGGGACGTGCTGGGACGCGGCAGAGCCAGGGGGGTGAGGGGAACCCTGCCTCAGCGAGAGCCCACGGTCCCTCCCCACGCCGGTGTCCCCTGCCCTCCTGGGGCTGCCTGAGGGTATCGGGGTGTCCCTGAGTCGGTGACATGGGAAAATTATAGGGAGGGGGGGAAAAGTGGAATAAAACTTGAGATTAAGTGTTTTGAGAGCTCAGCTTTCAGGAAAACATCAAATGCGAGATTTTTAATAGTCGTGATAGTTAGCAACCCTTTGAAGTCTGTATCCGTGTTAGTAATTTGCTAAACTTCAGTTTATGGTTTGTAACCTTAATAAGAAAGGCCCTGAGACTGCTGCCCATGGTAATTGGAATATGTATTTTTAAGCATGCTAAGGCAAACAAAAGTAGGCCAATTTACTCTTCGTGCTTCATCTTCCCTCCTGGTTGCTGTGTGCTGACACACAGCTCAGGGCTTTGGGCTTTTTTTTTCTGGCAGTCCATGTCTTGATGAAGGTCTGTTGGAGGGATGTAGTGGGGCAGGACATGATAGAGGGAACAGCAGAAAGCCAGGAGGTCACCATTAGGGTGCAGAATCACACAGCTTCATTTCAGTAAAACTGAAAATGCACTCTGTGGTGGAGACACACCATTTCAGGCATGAATGAAAGGCATGATTAGATCATTTAGTAAGTGATGGAGCTACCAGCTCTGCTTGTATTAATCATTACTTTTAGCAGAGATGGAATTGTCAGAACTTCTTACCAGCAGTGGTGGTCTGAGAAGCTTTGTTAAATTTCTTTGGGGTTATACTGCTCATGTCAGTGTCACAGTTCTTTACATAATATGTTGCATTATTTTTATCCTGAACTCAAAAATATTGCGTCTTATTCTGATGTTTTGGTATTTTAGATTTGAATTGTTTTCAGTAAGACAGGATTTCCAGAAGTGACTGTGTGTCCTGGGCTGATGTTTTGACCTTTCTGTGCTGCAGAGGAGCTTGAGGAGAAAACCTTGAAGTCATTGTAAGAAGAGGAATAAGGACTGTTTAATAACAGTATAATGTAACCTAGATCACCAGCAGGCATTCCTTGTCTCGCTCTCTCTAACAAAAGGTCAAAGTTATGCAGAAAGTCGCCTAGAGATAGTATAAAGACTCACAGTTAATGGACTGTGTGTTTTTGCTGTTCTCCTTGAGTGGTCACTCAATAGTTTTCATAATACCACTTTTTGTTGCTTTTTTGTTATTTTTTACTTGTAAACGTAATTCTGTAAGCACAGATTTCACTGTTAGAAAGAAAAACCAATCAAAGCAGCTCTGACTCAACGACGTGCTCTGAGGTTTGTTTGTATTTGGAATGCACTGCAGAGGTTCCCAGAGCTGGTGCGAGCGGGAGGAGATGCCTCGTGCGGCTTCGCATGGAGTGAGCTTACCCCAAACCACAGGGGGAAGGAGAGAGTCGGGGGATCACAGCTCCTCATTCTCCCTTCTCACCAGGATAGGGCAGACTCAGCTCAGTTCTGTTGGTAACTTCTGTTGGCAGAATATGTGTAATATTAGGTGTGGGACTAAATTCCAGATCCCTGTGGGGCCTATTGTGAACAGGCTCGTTGCCAATGTCGGTTGGGGTTGATGACATTATATTTGTGTCATCTTTCTGTGTTTGGAGGGTACAGAAGTTATTCACTCTCTCCCTATTTGTTTATTATGGTGGTGGTTACCCTTCAAACCAGTCTGTTGCATGGAATGGGTGCCTACCAAGCTCTCTGATGTTTGGGTTTTTTTCATTATTGTTTTCAGGATCCAACAAACCTGGACAAGTTCAATGTCTCAAACTTCTTTCATGTTAAGAACAACATAAAAGTGATTGATCCAGGTAAGGATGAATTGAAGGCAAGCTGAGAAAACAGCAACCTAAATGTGCCCAACCTAAAGGTGATGTTTTGGAATTGACGCTGTTTTCTGGTGGACATCCCTCAGTGGCTGGCGGTAGCTTTGAAAGCTTCCTGGAAACATGAATATCTTGTTGAAACTGTCGCTTTCACATCAAAAGGTGTTAACGAATTTGGAACAAAGACATGATTCTTTGAGAAATTGTTAAATGTCTCTGTTGAGTGCTGTGCAGACACGGAAAGCTTCCCATATCCTTTAAGAGTAGCAGATGAGAGACAAGGGAGAAGCGGAGGAACAAGAATTTGCCGAAAGGTCCATTAACCAGAAGCGGGACAGGGAACCCTCTGTCTCCTCGTACCCATCTGCTGGGCTTTTCATGGGCATCAGCATTGTATTGTCCATCCTGTGCTCTGGGTAACAATGGACATATTCCAAGTTATAGACTGATAGAGATTTTTCTAAAATAATCCCAAATTTATTTTAATAAGTTATTTTTTTCTTTCTAGATATCAAAACTAAGAAATTTGCTTCTTAATCCTTTAGAGATTTTTTGATAGCTAAATGCTTAGCAATACCTGCTAATACTGAATTGCTGAGGGAAAAAATTCTTTCCTTTGCCCTTGTGGTTTTCTTTAGAACTGTTTCTAATGAGGTCTAATTGCTGATTCAAAGCATGGTGTGTTTTTCTGGGTCTTATTATGCTTATATCGTTGGGGTTTTTTAAGCTACTAGTTCTGCAAGCAAGCATCTCTCATTCTATTTACTTGCTAAAAATAAGTGGGCATTATCTCAGAGATGGAATATTTAATATCCAGCAAATAGTAGGCATACCAAGACAGATAACAAGTGAAACTTGTAAAAATAAAAATAAATATCAAAATAAAAAAAAAATCAAATTCTGCAGTGCCAGCCTCCTCCCCTGGTATCACACTGGAGATCTGATGTTGGGATTTTTGCGTCACAGGCCTGGCCATTCAGTGAGGAGACAAAGGACAGACGTTTATATTGTACCCAACTGTATCTTGTCTGGATTGTTCTGTAAAAATTTTACAAGACTTGCGTGAAATTAGATAATTCCTAGTGGTTTTAAAGAAATTGTTGCTGTAGTTGATTTGAAGTTGTTTTTTTTCTTTTGTTATGCGTCATCATTCTGACATTTATTGCGCTATATTTCAAGTTACACTGTCATTAGTGTAATGCATTGCTATTTGTTACTGTTTCTGTAGGAATAAATATAGTTAATAGACCTTTTTATTTGAAAAAATATTTGGAAGATTTTTGTGTAACTAGATGTGTAACAGACTGAAGGAGAACAAATAGAATTTTGCTTTTAACTCTGAATGATTTAACTTTTCTTATCTAGATGAAGAAAAAGCAAAATTAGATCCATCATACTATTTGAAAAATACAAATACGGAGACCCGAGAGACTTTACTGGAGCTTTATAAGGAGTTCAAAGGTGATGATATTCTAGCAGCTACTATGAAGGCTCCTGAAAAGAAGAAGGTGGATAAGCTGAATGCAGTAAGTTGATTTAATTTGTAGTTTGGCACTGATTGACTTCTTCAAGAATGGTAATGGATGGTTTTCAACTCAGAGGCCCATATTGCAGTATAAACAGACACTAATCCTTATGTTTTGTGTTACACGGGAATTTGTCATAGATGAGAATATGAGAATCATACTGGGATTCCTTAGAAATACATTGCATGTGTCAGTGAGTTTCTCTTTTTAAATCATCGTAAATGAACCTAAACATTTTAGAATTGCAGCACAGCAGAAGATGGAATCTTTATGATGTGGTTATGATGTGTATGTTGGCAGAACCTTTTTTCCCAGGTTGTAATCTCTTGCTTTGAATTTGTTTATCATTGCTTCCTGCAGTTACTGGCAGAGAGAATACACCTTAAGGGCAGTGCAAGTGAATCATTTCTGTTGTGGGCAAATATAGAAATGATCCACAGCTGCTTCTCCATTTATTTCCACTGGAATGCAGGATTTTTAGTGGAATATTTTAAAAGATGTTCCTTCCAGGTGCACGTTACCATGTGTTCATGGTTGTCAAGAGAAACAGTTCATCTGCATCTAGATATCCTACATCAAAGGCTGTTTGAAATGGGCAAGACAGAGTATTCTTCTTTCCTTTAACAGTTCTGGGGTGTATGTGTCTTTGTGCTTTGATTACACTCACATGAAAACACACAGCAGTGCAGCACATGGCATTAGTGAGGAGACCTAATGGCAGGTTGGGGAGTGCGTGTGACCAAGGGGTAGGATCACGTTTGCCCCTTTTTCGGGGCATCATACTGTTATGAGAAAAACAAAAGATGTAGGGAGGAAAAAAAGAGGTGAGAGACAAGGATGAGCTGTGCAGCTGTTGAAGAGTGTCAGCTCCAGCTGTGGATGGGCATAATATAAACTTCCATGGGATGGAGTGTGACCTTACGGACAGAGCACTGCCCTGACCTGTGCTCCCCATCTCTGCATTTATCTCCGGGTTTATTAGATCTTTGTAATTAGCTACAAAATCCAGGTGTGACGTTCACATTTCCTTTCTGCAGGAGAACTGCAGAGCTGAGAATAGACACTGGGAAGCGTGGGTCAGTGCCTCTGCCCGGAGCAGGGCTGTGTGGGAGGCAGAGGGTGGTTTGATCTCCTCCACACTGTCTCTGCGCTTCCCTGGATTTTCCTTCCACTTACTCAGCAGCGTTGGAGAATGTAACAGGTGTCTTGCCAACAGTACTCCCTTCATATCCCCACCTGTGGACATACAAATAAACTCTGCTAACAGAACCTTTGCATACCAATGTATTAAACTGTAGTGGAAGCAATGAGCTCCTTTGACTTGGGCTCCTGAACTGGAGCCTCATCAGGGCTGATGTCATGGGCAACAGATGGAGAATTACCCCTGTGTCCTGCGTTTGTTTCTTTCTGTAGGAGCTAGAGCACAAAGTCTGCCTTCAGAAGGATGGCATTTGTGTGTCTGTATTGCTTATATAGTATCTTTAGTAGATAAATTCTAAGATCTAATGTCTTTTTCTCTTTTTCCCTCTGTGAACAGGCTCACTACTCCACTGGAGCAGTAAGCGCTTCCTTCACCTCCACGGCAATGGTGCCTGAAACTACCCACGAAGCAGGTACCAGAACTGCCTTCCTACAAGCTGTTTATGCACTTTCTGGCTTTAGGGCATGCTCCATAGCACCCGCACATCTATGGGGACTGAGGGAACACATTGATAATTGGTCAGTCCTGATGCCTGGGGAATGTATTCCCTGAGCAGATACAGCCATACTTCCCAGTGAGCTCATTCTGAAAATAATGGAGCAATTACAAATTAGCTTTGGCTTTGAATGGCAGTTACTTACGTTGAACTGAAATTAATGAGGTATTTTCTGTGCCCAGAAACCACAAAATGGGATATCCACTTACGTAAGTTAGGAAGAAAGTATGATCTCTCCTCAAGGAGCATACAAAATCTTTACCACTTTTTTGGCCTATCCTGGTATTGGTTAGAATGACAGAAAATTTTGTTGTGATAACTGCTTTTCAAGGTTACACAAAAATGCATTTTAATACAATAAAATTTTCCTTTCATTCTCCAGGCTAAGCACAAATGCGTAGAATTCATTTAATTTGGATATTGGTTAAATATTTGAGTGATTAGTATTCCCAGTTGAATAGAATGGTCTGGCTTTTGGCACTGGCATTCAGAAGTGTGGCACACACGTAGGCAAAGCTTGCACACACTGCTCACACTGCTTTGCCAAGTTGGTCTTTCCTCATAGATTACAGTGATTTGCAGGGGAATCTTCGAGTGTTGAAAATATCTGACTGACTAGAGATTTTGACAAAATGGGAAGTGGAAACATCCGAGACTGGTCCTTTGGTTTGACTTTCCGGTGATTTGCAGGTGAATCTTCGAGTGTTGAAAATATCCGAGACTGGTCCTTTGGTTTGACTTTCCAGTAATGTTTCCAGTAACTTTGCCTCATTTGTTTTCAGAGCTGGGTAGGTCCCCGTATGTCAGCAGTTTGTGGTTGACTGATGACTACCTGCTTGGCTTACGCCTTCGACAAGAAGCGATTCGGTTTCAGAGTAACGTTTGTGATTGGTAGACGTTACTTGAAAATTATAGTTTATAATCTTGAATGCTTCTGTGACTTAAAAATACAGATGATATTGTTGGCTCTTGAGGAGTTAGTGGTTTCCTATAATGGAAAGTGTTGCACAGAGATTAATGGGAGGTTATCGTAGATGAATTGCAGAGCACGGTCCCTGAAGAGCCAGGGCCCCGGGAGAAGAGGTCAGAGAGTAGAATCCAGCAGTTTGGTTTCTGATGATTTCTAAAGACCAATGAGCAAGCTTCCAGAGAGCTGATTATTGTCTTTTGCTTCAATACAGCTGCTATAGAAGAAGATGTTGTGAGATACAAATACGTGAAGAAGAAGGGCTATGTGCGACTTCACACTAATAAAGGAGACCTCAACCTGGAGCTGCACTGCGATATGGTACTGTGTGAGTCTGTCTTGATAACACACAGAATAGGAGCTGGCAATGGAAATGTCCAAAAAAGGGAATACTGTGTACTCATAGTAGATCCAGATAAATAACTAGTTTGCAGTTGGTTTGATGTGTTTTGAAACATACACAAAATCTCCCACGGGATGAGTCTCTCTTGATAACACACAGAATAGGAGCTGGCAATGGAAATGTCCAAAAAAGGGAATACTGTGTACTCATAGTAGATCCAGATAAATAACTAGTTTGCAGTTGGTTTGATGTGTTTTGAAACATACACAAAACCCCCTTGTAAAATGTACATATATTATACTACTACTATACAAATGTTCTCTGTGAGTTAGTCCCATACTCCCCTTGTAAAATGTACGTCTATTATACTACTATATGTACAAATGTTCTCTGTGAGTTAGTCCCATACGTTTTAGTGGATGGCTTACCATGTGTCAAGGTGAAGTTTAGAACTTCAAAGGGTCAGGATTATAGCGACCCAAACAGTGACAGGGAAGATAGAGAGAAAAAAGAAGGAAGAGCACAGACAGCAGCCTGAGGTTACACAGCAGGTCACTACAGAACTGGGAAAAGAACCCCAGTGAAGCAGAGAGCGGTCTGTCAGCCCAAGTATGTGTAGTTAAGATCCCCAGAAATGGTCAGATTTGCTTCTAAATCCTGCACTTTGCAGAACAAACCTAAAAGAAAACCTTAGAATATGGTTTTTACTTCCCACTGTCTTAGTTTTTACAGCTTGAGTCTTCAAACATCTTTCCTTTGCCGTTAAAAGGTAGACGTTCATTTTAGAAAAGAACAGACTACAGGGTTTTTTGTAGTCAATACAGCCTGATTCTGGGGGAAATCTGTGGCACTTAAAATAATAAACATGGCAGACTTAGGATAGATGGATGAGTTGTGGCGACACTGGTGTCTCCGGCGTCACTGCTCACTAGTGTGCTCATTTGTTTGTACAACCGCATCTATAAAAGGAAAAGAGTTTTTTATGTGAAAAGCCCAGTCCTTCCATTGTTTACTGAGGTTTTTATTTCAGGAGATTATAGGCCTGAAGGTAAACGCTTTAGGAAGTTGAAGGATGTGAATAGGGGTTTAAATGGTAAAAATTCTGCTTGTTGTGACCCTCACAGAATTTAAGGATGGTGGTGCTAGCTAGGGGCTGGGGTGAAACCCAGAGATGCACTGGGAGAATATATCCTTTTTAGCCTGAGAGAAGGAAAAAGGAGCAAAGAGGACAAGGCTGCCAGCTTTCCTCCTCTTCCTTTCTCTCGCGAGCAAAAGGAGCGCGATGTGTGTTAAACATCTTGGGCTGATGTATGGGAACAGTCTGGGAACCTCCACAGCAGCGTATATGCTCACAATTCTGTAGGTCCCAGTCATCCCTACAGGTGTTTTCCTTGCTCTTAAATAGTAACACTATGTAATGAGGCAAAAAGCAGAGGGTGTTAGTACAGCAATATTTGGGGAAGCAGCAGCATGAGCAGATTGCATTGAATCATTTGTTTTGCCATATGTTCTCGAAGCGGCTCCTGGCTCCTGCAGGCTGCCTGCAGCTATTCTTACCAGCGAGGGGCTTGTGGCCACCTGTGTCCCCAGTGTCCCCCAGTCCTGACACCCCCCTCTCAATTGCCCATTGTAAACTTCCTGTGTGGTATCCACCGTGTTTCCTTTGCTCCAGAGGGATCCCTGCTCAGGTTGGGAGCACTCACTGCTGTACCGGCTCGAGCACCGGCCTATGGCCATCTGTTTCTGTCATTTCTTTGTGGCCGTTAAATCTGGGGGCATTAAGCAGACCTTTGGTGCTGCAGAGGGGGAAAAGATATATATAGCTATATATTTAGAAGAAGTAGGAAAACCACTTTAAGGAGGTTTCCACAAGGTCCACTTTAGGTCATCATCCTGGGTCTATTAAATCTGTTCTTCTGGGAGGTGCTTGTTTTTCTCCCTTTACTGTATAAGGGGTTTGTGCTTCTGACTTGGGTTTCCTGAATCCCACTGAGGTTGGGCACAGAAGGTGCAGATGAGAGCAAACATGGGACAAACATGTAGCAGCTGTACAGGTCACAGACACAGGCACAGGTCAGCTACAACGCGCTATTGAGGTTGCAAAGCGAGACATAGAAAATGGGGAAATGCCCAAATCAAGCCTTTCTTACACACATTCGGTTCAGCCTGTTGTGAGTATGTGTGGTAATAGTCTTAATTAATCGTATGCTGAGTATTTTATCAGCTCTCCTGGCTTATTCAGTACACAAGCTGCACCAGTTCTGGGAACTGTTTGGATCTGTGCAGCGACATGGATTATGTGCAGGGTTTGGTTTTCCTGCAAAAGCATAGAAATTGGGTACAGCCCCTGAATGCAGTGGGGGGAACTGGACTGTATCGTAACGCTCACCCAAATTCATGTTGCACAGGCTTTTTGGTGCCTGACTTTTAGCCTTGGTGATTTTTTAATGTGGCTGGCACTGGTAGTACTCCAGCTTTTCAGTAAGAAATGGCGAAACAATTTTCAGCCCAAAACACTGCTTTGATACAGACTGAGGTCAGGAGCAGTTTGGGACCCCGGGGTTCTACACACAGTCTGTGCTACTGGGGCTCTCATTCACCCCGGTATTAGGTTGTCATTGCTGTTTGAATTCAGCCAAAGTATGTGTGATTTGGGGAATTCATACATCTACCGTCCCAAGCTGTGCAGCTGCAGGAGCAGGTATGTGGTTTATAAGCCACGTTACAGCAGCGTTTGGCTTCTCTTTCTACAGACTGAGCACTGCCTGCCTGGTTGTTGTCTTGGCCTGACCACAGGCTCCTTTTTTGACTTGCTGAGCGATATCCTGTGCCCTGGTTATTGTGGAAGCCACCCTAGCAGAGGCTGTATTTGCACAGCACTGCAAATACAGAATTGTGAAATGCTTTAGGAAGCCTGAGGATGAAGTTGCTGTATAAATATGGCAAATGAATACCTGTGTCCGGAGGTAGGACTTGCAACATTCAAATTACGTGCTAAAATAGTCTTATGGGTTAAATTTCAGTATACATTTTGGGGTGAGGTCTTTGTGCTGAAATAGAGAACAGCAAGTGACATACTTGCCATCTTAGCGTATGTCTACTCAGCCTTCAGTTGTTTTCATGCCTATGGGCTGTATTTAAGCAACACATTCTTGCAGTTGTGCTCTCGGCATCCTGTGCTTCGTCTGAATTCTAACCTGTATCTCTTTGTCTTCAGTACCCCCTTGGGGTCTTACTCCTCTCCCTCTCCCTCCACAGTTCTTCTTTCTTTCCCTGGTTTTTGTGAGCTGTCTGGCAGTGTGGATTGTTTGGAGTTTGGTCCATATGTATGCGTGGAAACTTTTGTTTGAAAATTAATCTACATATACTAGTACTTCCAGGTGCCAGTCAATGAGATTGATAGTGATGAGATTCTTCTCAGCACCAAAAACCTAATCAAGACATGTTTTGTATTGATCCGGGGGAGGAAATGAGCGCTGCAGCATGATTGAAGCCATCGCTCACTCTGTGACAGGATTGGGAGAGGGAGCGTGAAGCAGGGCTGGAGCCCAGACAGCTCCCGTGTTTGGAGGCCCTTTGTTGAGGGCGCACAAAACCTCGCTCAGGTTCCAGAAAGATGATGCGTGGTGTAAATCATCCACCTGAGAAGAGGCAGTAAAAAGACTTCAGAAGATAAGCCGGATTTTTTTTCCACCCTTTTCAATTTGTGCCTGAAATGAGCAGAGGCACACACACCACTGTCCTCTCTCCGCGTCGTGCCGGTGCCTGTTGCTCTCTGGTCCCGTTTGTTTTTCTCCCAGTATTCTCACTCGGATACAGTATGTTCCCCCTGATGGGGACTAATCAGATGGCCATTTGTTAGGGACATTTTCCAGGAAGCCAAGTTCAGCTGGGCATAAGCAGCATTTGTTGTATATACTAATTGGAAACAAATTTACAAAAATTCTATTTGGCAGAAGTAATTCTGGCGAGTACAGAAGATTTAACAACATCCAACAAGTGCTATTCTTTCAGCTCTAGTCTTGTGCATCGCCAAACAAATTATGAAAAAATAACTGATGAAAGGCAATGAATGTCACTGGATTTCATGTATTTTATTTACTGTGATTTTTCTAGTCTCTTACAGTTCTTTCAGTTGCTTTAATCAGGATGCCGGTGGGAAAAACTGTTGGGATCATGTGTGTTCTGCTGTGTTAGTGGCTGCAGTGGTGCCATTACACCTTGTGGGTGGTGGAGCAGCCTCTCGGGGCAGGGTGGAGGCTTTGCCCTCTGCACCAAGTCAAACTGAGTTGATGTGGAAGTAGAAAAGCTTGTGGTGTGATGGATGGAGTGGGGAACTCGGAGCCAGGAACCCCTGACTCCTGTGCCTTTGCTGTGGCCTTGCTGCACGATACAGCAGTGTCATTTGGTTACCAGGGGTTTTTAAACCAGTGGCAACCCATTTCTTATTTCACAATGAGCAATAAATACGGGCATAATTTTGAATTCCCAGGCAGTAACAGGTATCATAGATGCCTAATTGCTGGAGTGCATCGACACAATCACCTCGGCTGGCATCAGCAGCCCTGCACTAGAGCAGGCAGAGTAACAGACTCCTCGTTTCCACACCTGGGAAAGGCAATAAAAATTCCTGCTTTTGCCTTTAGGTTGCTTTGAGGCTTCCTTGTTCAGTGCTTGTACTTTTTTATTTTCGTTGTGCCATGGAATTATACGTATGTAAAAGCATAACACCCCAGAGGAGCCTGTCAGAAGGATGGAGGAGGGGTTGGTGTGTGTCTCTGCCGTCTCCCTCCCCTCCCTTGGGAGTTCTCCTCACACAGTGGTCGCTGTGGGGTAACGATCTGGTGGTTGAACTGGTGCCGGTAGCGGTAATTGAATGCTAATCCGTAACCGCCACGGCAGAGATTGACAATTTGCCTCTCTCTCTCAGGTTTAGTACTTCAAGGTTTAAGGGCAAGTTGGCATAACAGAGAAGAAT